CGTCTGTATACACGTACACACGCGAGTGATGCAGTATGCATCAGAAGTAGATAATAGGGAATCCCAAGAATCTACTTCTGGTATGTATGTACTATGTATTCAGTAGCGGCTTATGTAGCATGCGACGCGACGTGTACATGTCATGTTGACGGAGCGGGGTCGGCAACCCTCGTTACGTCGTCGCCGCAACCAGGTCGGCAGGTCCCAGCTGACACAGAAATCGTCGGCAACTGCAGGAAAACGGCGTTTTCGCGTAATTACGGGGGCAGGCCGTAAACCCGTAAACCCACCTGTAAATACGCACCTGTAAATACTCACCTGTAAATACGCACCTGTAAATACCTGCCTACCCCGCCCGCCACTAAACCCTGGTACCGCCTGCCGATACACGTATGCACGAACGTATGTATGTATGTACGTATGTACCGCTGCTTGCGTGCGTGCCTGCTTGCGTGCGTGCGTGCGTGCGTGCGTGCGCGTGCGTTACACTTAGAACCCCCGAGGCAACAAGTGACCATTGTACTACTAACACCCCCCTACACACCCTCCCACTCCCTACACCCCCTCCCCCCTCTGCCACTGATGGAAAATGCCCGGAGAAGAAAGCTTGATCTGTTTATGCGCGTGTAAGCAGGTTCGCTAACAAGAGAAAGAGAAATAAAGAGGCGAGAGAGCGCGCGAGAGAAAGAAAGCGAGAGAGAGAGTATGTGTGTCAGAGAGGGAGAGAGAGAGAGAGTGAGAGCGAGAGATATAAAGAGAGAGCGCGAGCGAGAGAGAGAGTGTATGTGAGAGAGAGTGCGCAAGACACAGAGAGAGAGAGAGACAGCAAGAGCGAGCAAGAGGACTAGGTCGGGTGGGTAACAAGAGAGGTGAGAGGGAGGAGGATAGGCTCGGAGGTGAGAGGGAGGAGGAGAGATGGAGGAGGAGGATAGCTGCTGGATTATAGGCTCGGTGTTCTAGAGTAGACACGATCAGCCGTGCGCGTCCAGCCGGTAAACTGCAGTGAAATTACTGCTGCCATGAATGATGCTAGCCGAGCACAGCAACTAGCAAACAGCTACCAGCAAGCAGGCAGGGGGCGGGGAGAGGGTTGAGGCCGGGGCTGGCTCCGAGGGGCACTGGCAAGGTGGTGCTTTGCCTGCGTACAGCTACTGTGAACGGCTGGCACGCGAAGTGCAACCTCCTGGCATTTCTCCCTCCTGGGGGTTTCTCCCTCTCCTAGCCTTACCATACTATAGCAGCTACATCCCCCAACACGCTCACACACAAGCCCAGCAGAAAGCAATAGATCCCCCAGCCCCAGACAGACTCCACTGTTTCACGTAGCAGATGATAGCCGAGGAGCGCTTACTTGTGCCTGGCCAAAACACAAAACCCCTCTTCACACACACATCACCACACCAAGCTTACAGCGACGCGCTAACACAACCTCACACCACTACCACACACCCACACCCAGCTTGACCAGAGGCGTAACACAACCCTCTCAGCACACACTGCTCCACATCCAAGCTTTAGCAAGAGCGTAAACACACCCCGGCTACGTGATCGACGCGGACACACATCGCACAACTAACTATACCAGCGCAAGCCAGCTTCAAGACATATAACAGAGCTGAGGGGGATTGGGAAAAACAGTAACAAGGAATTTCGCTTTGAATTGAATCACACAGTACCTCACCAAAACTGACAACCGACCAACGGCCCAAGAAACCACATTCCTCAGACTGCTACATCCACAGTGACGTACGCACCAAAAGAAAACCCAGCGTAGACACATCCCCCATCCTATCTCACACCCGCCATGCACCCTATCCCAAGCTAAAAATCCTTGACAAGAGCTACGCGGGAAATCACATCACCACCCACTGAACAGTCACACACACGCCCACAGCCTCAAGGCTTACAAGAGCAGTTAAACACACCCCTTCACACACACGTCCCACAACCTAACGCTTAAGAGACGATAACACAACCCGTCACACACAACACGCGCCAACAACCCAAGCACAGAGCGTAACACATCCCCCGCACACACACGCCCACAGCCCCAAGCCTTACAGAGCGTAACACAAACCCTCTCACACACCCCAGCGCCCAGCACCCCCAAGCTTTACAGAGAGTCAACACACCCCCCTCACACACACGCCCACACCCAAGCTTATCAGAGCGTAACACCCCAAGCCTCTCCTCACACACACACGGCCGCAACAACGCCAAAAGTATGCGGTTGAACAAAGGAGCACGAGTTCAACGTGGTTTTACACGAGGAACTCTCAATTTCAATGCCCACTCTCGGACACAAACACAGCAAGAGCGCCAAACGAGGGCGCCAATCAGGAATGTTCTATAGAGCCGTTAATCCGGACGCAATCCCGCAGCACAATACACCACGCACACCGCCAGCGCACAACCCCTACAGTCTTTGACTCAGACAGCGGAATAATAAATGCACACTGACCCGCCACATACTCACACACAGCGGTAACAAAAAGCTGAATTGCCGTTGAGATGCTCTGGCACCACTCTTGGCCACCCACCAACCCGACCATAACAACCATCACAAACGGTGTTGAAGTGTGACGAGATTGGCTGGGATGGAGCGACCACTAGCTCACTTTCATTGGCGAGAGCACAAAGACTGGCTGAATTATATTCCGATAGGACAACGACCATACGATACAATTAATAGGCGACATGAATAAAACATCGAATATCCTTCCTCATCCATAACAGCCACCACGACTTCGAAGACATCTGAACCCACACCCGGCAAGCTTGAAATATGCGGATGTGAGTCGTTTATAGCGAGCGGGAGGACAACGGCTCCTAAACTCAACACCTAAACCAAGACCCGTTCCCAGCACACAAGCAAGTAAAACACTCCTACAGAGCGTAACGTACAGAGAACAAAAATGCCCGACCCCCCTTCACATCACACGCCCACACCCAAGCTTACAGAGCGTAACACAACCATCTCACACACACGCCCACACCCAAGCTTACAGAGCGTAACACAACCCTCTCACACACACGCATGACAGAGATTTGGTTGCAGAGCCCCAGCATCGCTGCAGATATCTGTGTGTGTGGGCGAGGCCTGCCTTACAACATACAGCTCGCGTGCGTCATCTCTACAGCAAGATATTGATCACTATGGCAACGCTCCCACCCACAGTGAATGAAGCCATCCCACGGCGTAGGAACAGAGATTATTAGATACGCCACTAATAGAACATATCCCAACAATATTTAATTATTGTTACTAATGTACTGATGCGCATATACACCAATTACTGACGTAGTTTAACCATAACAGGACCATACCCCTGCCCCAACCCCACTCCTGTCCCCACCCCACTCCTGTCCCTACCCCACTGCCCCCACCCGACCCCAGCCTCCACCCATGTAATGTTGTTAACGATAACATACATTAGGCGATGAGTACAAGTAGGGAGACGGGTGGGGTGCAATTGTGGGTTAATAGTACGTAGACGCTGATAACTTGCTGGGAAGCAGGAAAGCTTGTTGTGAGAAGCTGGCAAGATGCCAGCACGCACACGTCTGCTACTGTAGTCTGTACACACGGTGCAGCTTCCGTTCGTATCCAAGGTTACCATCAACAAATTCCCATCCACCGTGGACGACAGCTCAAGGTTTCGCGAACCCCGACGCCTTGACGCATGTGCGCGACGCTAGCGACAAACAAGAGAACGGCTCTCACCTGTCTGCGTCGCCATGTATCATCGTCGACAGCTCCTGGAGCATGTCTGCATCGGTGGCGCCCTCTAGCTCCCGCACATCGCACTCCTGCGTCCTGCAGCAGAGCGGCCGTGATTAGAACGACGACGACCGCCATTAAACGCTCGTGGCGCCCTCTTGTGGTGCCCTCATTCTAACAATAACTCTGACCATTAACCTAAACCTCATCCAAACCTTAACTTGTTCACTACCATTGACCCTAACCCTTAACCCTAGCTCTTACTCCCCCCCTCTCCTGTGAACGGACAGCCCTACGTATTGTGAGAGGTAACCCTAATCTTCCCAATGCTCCTAAATTCTCTCTAATCGACTGGGAAACACGGAAGAAATCACGCAAATCGCTAGCAGGGAAACTAATATTCAAAGTGAACTTATATATATACTGATTATGATAATAATATAAACAACCTTATATAATATAAATAGTATTTAAGTAGTTAAAAAAGTAGAAGCAAGTTAGAATCATTCTACAAAAAGTAAAAAGTTCTTACTTTGAGCTGAAGAGTTTGTTCGTCCTGCCATCAGATGGCGCCTCATGTTCGACGTCGCTCAGGTCCTGGTCCATCATCAGGTCGTCCGACGCCAGACTCGACCCGTAGGTGGCGACACTGTCCACCGAGTCGCGTCGCTCCGTCAGCCGACGCGCCTGCTTCCGCGGACTCGCCTCCAGGGGGAGCCCGCGTTCCTGCGGCGGCGACGGTGGCGGCCCCTGGTCGAGGATTCGGTCGGATATCTCGTCGACGGTGGAGGATGACGTCAGACTGCTGCTGCCGACCTCGATGTCGCTCTCTCTCATGATGTGAGCGATGTCGTCCTCGTTCGTCACCACGTGCTCGGCGCCCCCTGCTGGCCGCAGCGACGCGGTCTGCACGACCTTGAACAGTTCGACGACCTCCGCCACACTCTCCACATCGTCTGCGAACGCAGCGCCGGCGCCCCCTGGTAACGCGTCCTCGTCGTCGATCTGCGAGCGCACCAGCCGGCCGTCGGCGGCCATGAAGACAAAGTCGGTTGCCGCGGCAACGGCCTCCGCTGCGGCGGCGCCCTCTAGGAATAGGAAGTCGGCGTCGGGACTCGCCTTGAACTCTCGCGTGGGGTCACCCGCCGCGTCCGTGAAGTCACACGTCTCCGGCAGGTGGCGCCGCTGCTCGGAGAGCGAGTCGGGCGTCGCCGGTGGCGACTCCGCGATCATGCCGAGCTCGGCTGCAGCGGCGGCGCCCCCTGGCGGGTCGGGCGACACCGTGCCGGACGAGGCAAGGGTGACGGCAGACTCGCTGCCGCCGCCGTCCGCCAGACTCTCCATCGAAGTCTCCATGCTGTCCACCAGGGGGCGCTGCTCTCTCCTCGAACGCTCGTCGCCCGCCAGCGACTCCCCCGACGCGTCCATCGTCCCGCAGCTCCACCTGTTGGTGGGAAACGGCGGCTGTCCGCCGTCGATGGAATCCGTCGACATCTGCATCTCGTCGTCGTGGCAACGGGACGCGGCGGCGGCGGCGGCGTCGGGCGTGCGTCTCTCCGGGATCTTCGTGAGTCTCTTCACGGCCTCTATGTAGCTGCACTCGCCTCGTCTCGCCTTCATGATGTGACTCAACACAAAACTCTTCTTCGTCTGCTTCCCCCCAGCGACCGCCGTCGCGGCGACGATGCTCCCATCCTCCTCATCCTCCTCCTCGGTCGCCGGGGGCGACGCTGAATCAACGTTCTCGTTGGGTTTGATGGCGATGTGCGTGCGCGGAAGCGGGATGCCGGACGCCGCGCAGCCCCTCGTCGCTCTCGTTGTCGTGGCGACGACCTCAGGGTCACCGTCGCCTGCCTCCGCGCACGAGTCCGAGACGTAGACGCGAGAGTCGATCGACGAACCCATGTCCGAGGTTGCCGAGACCTGCCTCCGGTACGCAGCCTCCTCCTCCGCATTCTTCTCCTCCCCCCGCGCCGTCGTCGTCGTCGTCGTCGTCGCGGCGACCGCATCCGCGTTGCCGGGGGCGACGACAGGCGGAGCGACGGCGGCGGGATCGGCGACGAACGAATCAAACATCGCGGAGTCGACCGACGACATCATCGCCGAGTCAACGGACGTCGTCATGACGTCGTCGGGCGTGCGCGGCACGCGGCGCCCCCTGATGGGCTTCGGCTTGTCCAGCTTGTCAACGTTGCGGTCGTTCTTGGTCGCCTTGGTGGCAGAGGTCGCGGTGGGGTCGCGGGAGCGCGAGCGGTTGCTGGTGAGCGACTCGCGAGACATAGAGAGCGATTCCTTCGAGGCAGATCGCGAGCCGGAGCGAGACTTCGTCAGCGGTCTCGCCGCCGCCGCCACCGGATGCTGAGTCTTGCGGTTGCCGGCGGCAACGTCGGCCGACGAACCGCGCGGCGAGTTGGAAGCGCTGCGGGATGTTCGCTGCTTGATCTGCTGGGAACAACGACAGGATGTTCATTACTGTTGCTCTTCTACGCATGATCGTTACTGTGTGCTGCGAACCGCAATCGTGAATGAACAACGAATGCCTGCAGGGCGAGGAACAACGACGTGTCATTCATTACTGCTGTTCTGCATGCGTTCACACGTCACTTGTTACTGTTCTAAGCACGTTCTCTTCTATGCATGTTCGTGTGCAAAGAACTTAAGGAAACAATACAGCAACGCTGCATGGCGAGAGACGACATTCATAACTGTTGTTCTACGCACGTTCGCACGTGAACACCACAGGAGTACTCGGGAAGCGAGACACAGCAGCAGCACGTTCATTGCTGCTGTTCTGCACATACGAACCGCACCCACCTCACCAATCATCGTTAATCGCGCCAATAATGACCCCAGAGCGCGCCGCCGCTGCCGCCGCCGCCACAATGCCGCGCCCTACATGCACGCTAATTCACCAATTTTTTTCCGAGCGCAATCGAGAGAAAACTGCTCTGACTAGCAGGATTGTATAAGATTGGTCGAGTCACGCTCACGAGACTGATATTGCGCGGGTTTAGAACGAGGCCAAGCAGCAAGAGTGCGACCCACTACTGGCGCTCTGTGAATTACACGACTGCAGAGTAAGGTCACGCGACACCGCCGCCGTCGCGTAAGGTTTGGGGGGGGGGTGCGTCTCCTAGTGAGAGCTTACACATGAGCGATGATCGCGTTAAAATACGCCGACACTGAATGAGCAAGAAAGTGGAATGCTGCGAAGAAAATATCGAGTTGTCGTCGTTAGCGATGGCTGCAGTGTCATTAGTATGGGTTATTATAGGTGTGTGGGGGGCTGATACTAGGGGTGGGAACGATACAGGCTAGCTTATGATACAATCCCGCATCACGATACAGCTTTCACGATACTATACGCAGGGCCGTAGTGGCCGCCACGGCAGCACGGCACTGCCTGTGGACTATTTTGAAAAAAAAATTCTGGAATGTGTATCTAATATGACAATGTGCCTATTCAAATTCATACTTCAAAACATACAGATGTACATAGTGAAATATAAATGCAGATTGAAAATAGGATATTTTTCATAATTATGTACTGAAAGCATATACAATTTTGTAAATAATGTTTTATTAGTTATCCATAACTCATAATATATATTTTCAGTCATTTAGTCAAAACATCAGCTTTAGTACAATTCCTTCTTTGAAAATTTACAAATTGACCTTTTAAAATGATCAGAATTGGTTGCTTTCAACATAGCCTGAAAATGCAGGAAATGCATTTCCAGTCTCTACATTTCAAAAATTTGACCCAGACCCCCCGCATTGGCTACATATTTCTGCAGTGGCACTTTTTGGGCCCGCCACTACGCGCTGCTATTACGTATCACAATACAGCTTTCATGATACGATACGTATCACGATCTAGCCTTCACGATACAATACGTATCACGATACAGCCTTCACGATACGATACGTATCACGATACAGCTTTCACGATACGATACGTATCACAATACAGCTTTCATGATACGATACGTATCACGATCTAGCCTTCACGATACAATACGTATCACGATACAGCCTTCACGATACGATAGGTATCACGATACAGCTTTCACGATACGATACGTATCGCGATACTTTCAAGAGAAACTACTTAGTAAACTATCTAGACTTAAGCTAGACTCTACCAATGATGTGAATGCTGACAAATCAGTATCGTGAGTCGCTTAGTAAACAAATTCTGTCACGTTTCTTGTTTTCACGAAACTACACTATAAAAAATTATATATATTTTAATTAGTAGAATGTCAATACGTGTATCGTGAATGGTTAAACGTGTCGATACGTGTATCGTCAAGGTTTGCATCGACAATAAATCGATATATCGATGAATCGTCATCCCACCCAGTCATTAGCAGCTCAGCTGTATGGGGGCAAACTTCTTACAGGTCCTAGTTTCTGATAAACCCCAATGCTAGACATATAGTAGTAGTTATAAGAAGATCTCATGCTATCATGCTCGCGATAGAATGACGTCATAAGATGCTGCAGCAGCAATACACAGAGAAGCCTGCTGTCTCTATATTACACGCGAATAGTTGACAAAGACAGACAAGCTCTTACGGCATATAAGACACAACCTCGCAGACTCTCTCTTTTACTCTCCCCGTCTCTCTTATCTATCCCTTTCACATAGAAACTCGCTGTCAATAATACTCTCTCTCTCTATCTTTCTCTGTCTGTCTGTCTGTCTGTCTGTCTGTCCCCTCTCTCTCTCTCTCTCTCACTCTCGCTCCCTATCTGTCATTCCCTCTCTCTCTCTCTCACACACGGTCTACAACACACCCTCACCTGTAGATTGTCTTACCCAGGGGTAGAAATTAACTTTTGAATACGGGAGTCAAACGAACTCCCTACCCTCAAAAAGAGGGAGTCCGCGGCAAAATGAGGGAGTCCGCAGTCTGAGATTCAAAATTAAAGATATTAACAATAACGCATGTGCTTATTTTTAAGATTCATGCAGTTGCACGTCTGCCAAATTTTCTTTGGACATTAACTGAAAAAATACGGTTATTCCGCGAGGCCGTGCTCTGGAACGAACTAGTTAGTATGGCAGAATTTTCAGGGAGTCACACAGACTCCTGCATATGTCAAATCAGGGAGTCCGACAGTAAATCAGGGAGTCCGACAGTAAATCAGGGAGTCCGACAGTAAATCAGGGAGTCCGACAGTAAATCAGGGAGTCCGACAGTAAATCGGGGAGTCCGACAGTAAATCAGGGAGTATTTGACTCCGGACTCCCCTTAATTTCGCACCCTGCTTACCTGTAGATTGGTGTTGGTCTTCTTCACCTCACGCGCCGCCGGCTTCGTCTCTCGTGCGCGATCCGCCATCGTAGCCTTCTCACGCGACCCCTCCTCTCCCTCCATCTTCGTCGTAGTCGTCGCTGCCGCCGCCGCCGCCGTCGCTGCGCGTTCCTTCGCTACGTAGCTGCGCGTCGCTGCGAGCGTGCTCCCGCGATCACGACTCACGCTAACCTCGATCGGTCGGTACGGACGAAGCAGCGACGTGCCCGGTATCCGCTGCTGCCGCCGCCGCGACGCCTCCGCCTCCACCCTCACGTTAGAGTCCACCTCCGACTTCCCGCCAGGGAGCGCCGCCGGGGGCTGATCGTAGCGGGGACCGTCCGATATCGGTCGGTTCGGCGCCGGCGCGGGTTTTACGGCGTCGACCTTCGCCGGCTTCTGTGCTTCCGAGCGAGGCGCGCGCGGCGGGAGGCTCCCGTTTGCCGTCGCTGGTGGCGCCCTCTCCTGGTGCGCGATCTTCCCGTTCGAGTCGGCCATCTTCTCCGTGTTTGCGTTCTTGTCGCCGCCCTGCGTTGCCGCGGCGACGGCGGCGGGTTTTCGGAGGAAGGATGGCGGCGCTGTGCTGCGTCCGAATCCGAAGCGACGGAACCCGGACAGCGCCCCCTTTGATCGTGCCGCTCCCTCCTTCAGTGACTGTATGCGTGACTCGTACTTGTCCGCGAGTCGCGCCGCATCCGACGACGCGTTGCCGACGGCGACTGGGCCCTGCTTCCGGCTGCCGAGTGCGGAGCCGCGCTTCGTTGCCATGACGACGATGTCGATGCCCGTGGAATGCTGCCGATTGGTGGGAATGTGGTTCGAAGTTTTCGTGGAGCTGCTAGATTGGCATGCGCCCATAAAGCCAACGCTGGGGCAGCATGCCGTGTCTCACTGCAACACACAAGTGCGGCGAGCGTGTGAGCGTGCCGTTTCCCATGCAACACAAGCGTGACGAGCGTGTCATTTCCTGTGCAACACGAGCGATAGACAATCTATGTAGACAACCTATGTAGACAACTTATATAGACAATCTATATAAACAATCTATATAAATAATCTATATACGCAATTTATATAGACAATCTATATAGACAATCTATATAGACAATCTATGTAGACAACTTATATAGACAATCTATAGAAACAATCTATATAGACAATATATATAGACAATCTATATAGCCAACCTATGTAGACAATCTATATAAACAATTTATATAGACCAGTGGTTCTTAACCTTTTTAGAGGCGCCGAACCCTAACGAAACCCACTGCTCACTCGCCGAACCCCTCAAATTTGACAAAAACAAATCAATTTTAATCAATTTTAATTAATCCAAAAATAAAACATATTGCATCAACATTCAAGACTATATTTGGAAAGCGTGCAAAGAATAAGCAAAAAATAAACATTTTAATAGAAAATTGCACACAAAATGAAGTGCACAGATAATGCACAATTAGAAGAATTGTATGTTAATGCGGTTTTTGGTCTTGTTTTTGGGCGACGATCTGAGAAATGCGTGGCTTTGTTTTGGCAAGGGCTACCCTCATATTATTTTCGCATGCAAGCCTGCTCCTTTTCTTTGTTTTGATGTCCACCAGTTTCGAAAACGCATGCTCGCAGAGATACGTTGTAACTGAAATAGCCAGCAAATTATAGCAAAATTTTAATGCGTTTCGGAAGACCTCCGCCGAACCCCTGAGACTGGCTCACCGAACCCCTGGGGTTCGGTCGAACCCAGGTTAAGAACCACTGATATAGACAATCTATATAAACGACCGACCCATCCTTGTGCCCGCGGGCCGCGCATCCGTAGACCTGCACCGCTAATCAGCGGCTACCTGTGAGAGATAGTCGTACCTGTAATCAATGCTGGGGGGGACGCGCCGACACAGAAATCACGCATGACGTAATCGTCCGTTTCCGCTCGCTTCGTGTGTGTGCGTGTGTGTGCGTGCGTGCACGCGTGTGCGTGCGCGTGCGCGCTTCTCTACTTTCCGAAGACTGCTGCGATTTACGACCGGGTGTCATCCTGCTGTGACGTCATTGCCCCAACCGCGACCCCGCCTCCGCACTAACACAGAACACGCACGCACGCATGCACACCACCGGAAGCGTGTATGTGTGTATATCTATGTCTATATTATATGTCTAATGTTTATGTGTGTGTATATCTATGTTTATATATATATGTATAATGTTTATATATGTATATCAATGTCTATATAATATATCGAATGTTTATGGGGAGGAAGGGAAGAAAGAGAGAGCGAGGGGTAGAGAGAGAGATGTTTATGTGTGTATATCCATGTCTATGTTTGTGTGTATGTAGAGAATGAGCGAGATAGAGGGGAGGGAGAGAGAAAGAGTGTGAGTGAGAGAGAGAGAGAGAGAGAGAGAGAGAGAGAGAGAGAGAGAGTGAAAGAAAGAGGGCGAGAAGGGAGAGAGAACGAAAAGGGAAGATATAGAAGTGAGCGGGTCGCTTTCGATGCAACACAAGTGCGATGCATTTAAGTGCATCGTTGCCAATGCAACACAGGGGCAATTGTTAAATGATTTTGTTTCAGACAACAGGCGCCAGGTTCGTGAGCTCAGAATCGGGGCAGAGCCCACGGAAACTTCTAATATCAGAGGCGACGGTCAATGTGACTCGTGTTGCGTTATGTAATGTAGTTGTGTTGTGTGCGTACTTGGCACGATACATGGGAGATGGTGATACGGCGGGTGTTATGTCATGCTGTTGTGTTCTGATGCTTGTCACGATACATTAGGGGGGTGACAAATGGTGTTGGCTACGTTAAGGTGAAGGAGTGGAAGGTCTGGTGAATTTCATTGATCAATTAGAATACACAACACAATTACCTAATATGAAGAAACATTACCACGGGTGTGGTCTGTGATTTTTGCAGATGAGTCTAGCTAATGAGTGAGTGGCGTGGTTGCCCTCACTAGTTACCATTAATCAGCTTAATCAGATGTCGTCGACAGACTGGTAATTACCATGATGTAGCGAGTCAGCAGCTCAATAGACATGACACATTTGACACCTTAACTAAGTTTCATAAAGAATATTCTTTAGTCAAAAGGACTATCACCAAGAACAGGCACCAACGGTAATCCAATTAACAGCTAAACGTCGTTACAGATTACTGGAGCTTCGCTCTTAATATAGTCTTATACTCTTTTGAAACTTGAGCCTCCAAGGGCCTGTGATCTGACAAGCAATGATCAACAATAACATCTACGTAGAAATAATATTAACACGCGTTAATTTACAAGTTTAAATAACTTCTGTTTGATGACAATAGCGGTGACAGCTTTAAGTTATTGCAGTCGATGACGTAATAGTAACCAAGGTGAGAGGAGGATGATCATGAGGAAACTGCAGGAAGGTCGCGAACGCCTTCTTCCCAATGCACGACCATACATATTACATCATACATGTACCTAATTGTAAACACTAAATCATACTAAATGTCAAGAAAATACCAAAATAAAAGATGATCCACTACAATATAGACTAATCGAGGTGAATACGGCATATTGCTACAGTATTGTATAACTTACAGCAGAATTAGGTCCTTGTTGATGTGGAAACATCATGAACTGAACGTAATCTCACATATATCGCACAATTTTCTGGGGAAGACGAAAAATCGATTACACTGGGAAAATGACGTCATTTGTCGTGAACGCACTGCCATCTCGCGGCAGCAAATGTTGGGAAATGTCTATGGGAAATGTAATCACTGCGGTAATAGATATACGATACTATATGGCCAAATTAAAATACCATGTTTTGGGTTAACGTAGCTGAGAGAGGGTAGGGTAGGTAGGTGGAAAACTGTTGTTGTTTTTTTCAATATTTTTTGTACCTGGCGTCGCGTAGTGTAGCACTAGGGAACCAGCGAAACGTGCGCGGTAGGTATATATGCAGGCCGGTAGCCAGCTTTATATTGGGGGGGGGGGGGTCGTTTTTCAATGTTGGCAACTTGCTCGGCAGGGGCTCGTGTAAGGATTTGTACCAGGGGGGGGGGTCTAACGTAACTCAAGTTGCCGAGCACGCGGAAGGTGGGGTCTGGGGGCCCTCCCCAGACATTGTTTTTTAAAATTAGACACCCGGGCAGAGATGGCGTTGTTTGGCGGCGAGCAAGCGGGGGTCCGGACTCCCTTGGCCGGCTCCCCCCCCCTGTACACGCCCTGCTCGGGGAAGCGACAGGCGAGGAGGCCAAGCGACCTGACGGGGGGAGGGTGTGGAGGGGGGTGTTCCGTGTCACCTTCCCGCACGATGGAAGATTTTGGCAATTATTACATAAAAATGGAGCGACCTGAGGTGAAATTCTTGGGCAAATTTTCAACAACAAAATTTTTTTATTGGGGGGCTGGGGGGGTTGGTTTTGTTCGACCCCCCGAACCCCCCTGGGCTACGGGGCGGATATATGTGACTGTTAACAAGTCCACATGGTTATCAGCTATACACTGTCTACGC